ATTAACGAAAAGAAAACAAAATGGCGGCATTTTCATAGCCCAAAAAGGAGTAATCATAACGCACCCGCCGGTGCTGAAGCTTCCGTTTCACGCAATTGTCTTTTTGAAAAATGGAAGAATACATTGATAAACTTTGTCTTCACCTTCGGAATGATGTGTCAAGTACAGTTGGTAACAAACAAAATTCCATTAAGTTTACAAAATTCTCTTCGCAGCTCTAACAAATCTCAATTCTCTTTTTGAAGGAACGAAGGAAATTAATTCCAAAGGTAGATGGCTAGAATTTTTTACTGAGTATTTGTTTCATTCATTGGTCAGTGAAGAGTGTGTTTAAATCTTACCAATTCCAATAAAAATTGATTGAGTAGCGTTTTGATCACGTGACCCGACATGTGACTTTCGTTGTCGGTATTGTTGCCATAAGGTAAAAGTTCCTAGGGAAAACTATCGTCCACGAAAGTTTCAGCGCAACCGGCTGTGTATTTGCGGAGATAGAGCTGTTTATTTTCTTAAGGCAATTTACTCTCCTGACCCAGGCCTTAAACTACTAAAAATTCGTTCAACGCCAGGTAACCAAACAACATGCATGTCATATCTTCAAGTGGTCTCTGTGCCGGAATAATTAGACAGGGAGAAATCCAGCAGATGGATTCGCGAGGTCTCAAAACATAATCTTGTTGTTGATGTGGTAAATCAAATCGCCCTCCACTGTACACTTTGGGTGGGAAATGCCTCCAGTCGAAATATCATGGGAAATTGCAATGATGTCAGTCAAAAATAGCCGAGCTTGACAAAGAAATTCGGGAACTAGTAAAGGATAATAATTATATAAGTTAATGGTGGATGCCTGAACTTTCAGTCAAAAGAAAGAGTCCAGACAAAGAGCGGTCTCCTGATATGAATTAGTGTGAATTCAATTTTTCGTGCCCTCTTGGGTAGTGTATACCTGAGGATTACCTTTAATCTTTTGCATACCCTCTTGGGTAGTGTATACCTGAGGGTTATTTTAATCTCTTGCATATACTTGAGGGTTATTTTTAATCTCTTCTATACCCACTTGGGTAGTGTGTACCTGAGGGTTAATCCTTCATCTCTCCTGTACCCTCTTGGGTAGTGTATACGAACTGCGATAATTTGTGAATTACCCAAGTACTCTGTTACATTCTTTGAAGGAAATATGTATTTGTTGTTTGCGCGGGGTGTTATTTAGTTGGATTTATTCGTGTCACATGATTTTTCTAGAATCAGTAGACGTTTAGATATTTTATCCAAATCCTTAAAGATCTGGATACGATATGCAAATCGTGGGGGGAAGTCTGGTTACATTTTGAGCCCATCCATGCAAAGATTGTGAAGCACATGAAACTCCAGCTACTTAATGTATCTTCTTAAAACTTTGCATGCAAATAGACTAACCCACAACCTAATGTGGCATATGGCTTGCATACCATAATAAACAAATTTATGGTTGAATATTAACCAAATTCTTCATTGAGGCTTTTTTCACTTTTTTCATGTTCCCCCCCCCCCACTTCCTTTTCTGTTCTAGTTATACAGTAAGCATAATATTTCGCACAATAACTCTACAAAAACTCTCCTACAAACCTATCGAGCGATTTCGGTGTTCATCAAATTTTTTTGCCATAGTATCAGCATACTTTTGTATAGAGTTTAATCTGGTATAACATCAACTGAATTCACCAAAAAGAAAAAAGCCTCGATAGGTTTTTAGAGCAGCCTTCCATATGTAACTGAGCCAAATTTGGTAGAAAATAGATAAAACCAAACTGAAAAAGTCTGGGGGGGGCATCTAAAAACTTCGTAAAAATCCCCTTCTGAGAAAAATGTAGCTTAAAATTTGGAAAGCAAAAACAAAACCGCCATTAGTAAATTAACAAAAGTAGCCTTATTTACGTATTCACAGATCATTTTCTAGGTATAAGATATAAACAAGACAGTATCCTTTTGGAATTTTACCTTTTGGATCCATGCTTTCATCGGAAGCATAGATTGTCGTTAATACTTAACATAAAGGACGCCTGATCACAGTTTGCACACCGAAAACTATGCCTAGTTTAATAGGACAGACACTCACCAAAGAGCTAGATCAACTATTTTTCTTTTACTAACAGCTAATGGTTTTTAACCTCGCAAATTTTTTCCCGAAAAATGAATACAGATAACTGCAATGTACAACATCAAATAGCTGTCGGAGACAAAATTGAGCAATCACTTGTCAGTGTAATTATCCTCAAGGCATATAAAGGTTTTTACTGCATGTATACAAGTTGTCGGTGTTCTCAGCCTTGAAACTTTTTTCCGCCGTTGTTGCAGTTTCGTATTGTCACTGCTCTATTTCTTTCTTATCTTTAGCTTTGGCGGGCCCTCCGTCTTGTACTGGACGCAGGCCTCCATAGCAATGGCATGACTCGCCGAGAAGGACTGGATCTATTGGCCAATTATGCCTGGGAGACGTCCGATGTTGCGCGCAAAGAAATAACTCGATACCAGTCTGGCCTGGGTCAGGCTAGCGCGTACACGATTGGTCAGCTGATGATTCAGAAGTTAAAGGACTACGCAGAGATGACGTCCAAGGGAAAATTTGACCTAAAGGACTTTCATTACCAGGTAAAATATGGAAGTGTTTATAACTAAATACGTTTTGTTATTGCGTTTACGACTATTGATGTTATATGACTGGCTTACACCATTTTATATCTGTATGTAATTGTTAAATTGTACGTTTTTCTTATTTGGGGGCCTAGAAAATCAGTATTACATTTATGGGCGAAAACTCACAAACTCTGCTTTCAATTTTAGATTCTCAACCAAGGCTTTGCGCCGATGAGTTTCCTCGAGAGGCATATCCAGCAATATGTCGCCTGCAAGTTAGATGATAAATCTCTTGGATGCGAGCTTATCTTGCAGCCATTAGGCGTTGAAGTGACAACGAAGCGAAAAAGCCATGCCGAGATCCAACTTTCCTCAAAATATTTCAGTTTTTTCAACCGGCCGTATCCAAGGAGACTTTATGTTTCATGAGCTTACAAAATTTAAGTATGTTCAGTACTTCTAGTTAGCCATCATAGCCATTCTTCGAGTTTACAAAGGAAATCCAATCGAAAAGAATACGGGGTCATCAGTAAGTGCTTTCACTGGCAATACCCCAAAGGATCATTAAGTGCATTTGAATTTTTTTCTTGATTTCCAACTTTTTTCATACATTTCTCCTAACTGACTTTTATACGTTGTCAATTACGTTCGTTATTTGTATCCACAGTCAGTACTCCGTTTACCAGTTCAACTATTTATCTCGCGTTAAACGAAAAACCTCAAAGTTTTTAACTCTGAGGAGCTTATTCGTCAATGAGTAGAGAATTTCATCCACTCTCGCTAACAATCGAAGCCATTTCGGGTAATTATAACTTGCAAGCTGTACTAAACGGAACGCAAAGGAAATTTTCTTCTGCTTGTTGTGAGTGACGTACCAATCGGACCGTTTTCATATTCTTCTTGGCCTGCTTGCACATATTTTCAACATCGTCCAAGTCATCAAAGTACTTGTCACATTGTTTTTTAAGTTCATAAAATTGTCTTTGCAATTTGTCGATCTGTCTTTCCTTCTCATCAGATAGATAACTTGCTCTTGCCACAAAGCTTTCGCTGATAACCGAAGCCATTGCGAGTACTTTTCGCTTACAAAGTTTTCTAGCTTAGCAAATGTACTAAACGGAACGCAAGGGAAATTCTCATCTGCTTGTTGTAAGTGACGTAACAATCGGACCTTTTTCTAAGCGCGTGCTCTGTAAGTCGAAACGCGTTCGCGTATTATCCAGCACAAGGAATAACAGAAAGAAACAAAGAGGAAAGACCATCGCTCTTCCTGTCATAATAGTCTTTGAGGAATTTTGTAAGAAGAAAAATCAAAAGGCTGTAACACTACTTTAGTGATCAAGATAAGGAATTTATTATAGATGTCAAGTGTTTTCATTTATCTTCTACTTTATTTATAAGCGGAGATTCCCTGCGAACAACATAGTCGTTTTTCCGTGAATCAGAGCGGTGGTTAACATTTCCTCCCCGAAACAGTACCTCTATGAAAAATGAAGATATATTGGCTGTAATGACTTAATAACAATGGCAGCAGTGGTAACTGGTGCAGCAAAACTTATAGGGCAGTATATCGAGGGAGCAGAGAAAAAAAAAAACGCTGCAAATAAATTGTTTATGAGGAGCCGTCACTTTAGGACGATGGCATGTACTGTTTGGCTAATAAGCCGAGTTTTTGTGTCGTGTTTCTCCGTTCAGTCTTTGTATTACAATGTACCAAGATATTGAATATTCTTCTTTTCAAGCATAATGCCTGTAGGCCTCAAAGGATTGCAAATTCTTTGTAGACTTGTCATCGTTACTCTTTGCCTTTTCCCTTTTGGGCGGGTTAAGGATTTCAGAACAGCCTTCCTTCTTGGGTTCTTTGACGCATTCGACATAATTTTCGATGTGTTCTTCAAGAAAGGCGAGTGGTGAAGAACCTTGACTCAATACCTGAGAAATGAGTTAAAGAAAAGATTTTAATTTGGACAGTGCGAGCAGATATTTGTCAATTTTTTAGTTCTGTAAAGAAATGAGGTGTGCAAATATTTAGGCCCTTTACTAGAAATAGAGAAAATGTGGCTGTAGAAATGGAATAATCTAGGATATGTATATATAAATAGACAAAAAAGCCCTGGCATTTTGCAACCACGACCCACTGGAAAAGAGAAATCGATTGAAGATACTTTTTCTCTCCCTCATATAACGACGATAAACCCAAATTACTATTATGTGTATCATATTATGTTTATTTTGTTATTCACCTGATAGTGGAAGTCTTTGAGATCGAAGTCTTTGCCCAAAGCAGTTTTTGCATGATCTCTGTTTTTTAGAAGGGCTATCCTGCCAACCATGTACGCGGTCGACTGGCCTGGCCAGCTCTGATAACGTGTTACCTGTTACATAGAAGAAATAATATCATAAAAGTCTAATAGTGTTTTTTTTTTTCGCAAGAGCATATCATAGTGATTACTAGATCGCGGCCACTCTGAATCGTTTGTAGCATGCAGTTTCCTTAGTAAGTATCTAAATGTCCGTCTAGTGCCCGAAGTAACGTCCTTGCACATCCACCTTATGAATTCTGCTATGTAATTTATGACAAGCCCTGATTTCACTTCGCCTTAACTATTAATTGTGACAACGTAGGAAGTATGGACTCAGGGGGTATCCATCTGCATCACGGGATGGCATCAATCCCTGAGTGGGTTGCAGAGAAAGTAAAAGGAAGAGAGGAAGTAGAAGTCAAGCTAGCAAATGAACGCTGTAAGAGCACTGTAAACTATTGCATCCAAACACCCTTGAGCCGAAAACACTCTCCTCACCTCTTTACGAGTAAAGTCAGAGTCATCCCAAGCGTTATCGACGAATAACTTGATAGCTTCGTCTCTTTTCATTCCTGTGTAGTGGAGTCCTGTGTCTACGATCATTCTTACTGCTCGCCAGATCTGAAAACGCAGAAACGTTAGCATTGATACTTCTAGGAGGTGACTTTCTATCTACGGGATTTTCTAGTGCTGGTTTTCCCAGAGGGTGGAAAACGGGAGAACCCAGGAAATAAAATTCCTGGGAGGCAAAGAGAACAGAGCAAACCTAACCCAGATATGACGTGAGGTCAGGGACTCGAGTCCAGGGTACAGCGGTGAGAGACAAGCGCTTTTATCCATGCGCGATCTCAACTTCAACTATCATTTTATCCTTTTCTTGATTATCGTCATTACCAACCTGCCATTTCAGCATGCCATACTTTTTCAATGGTCTTCCATCGTAGACATCAGTATCGTTTGATATTAATGGATTCTCAGCATATAGGCCCCATCCCTCCAAAAACGCCGTGTAGTATGTCTTGGAGCTTAACCAACCAATTGGACCTCCACAGGTGTCTTCAAAGTGCTCTCTATTCCCTTGGATCTACCACAGTAAAAATTGTAAGTGACATCTGAAATGATAAGAACTGTCTAGAGGAAAGTCGAATTGTAGGAATTTCAAAAATAAACCAAACAACCCGACTTCTTGTAAAAAGATCTAGTTATAGTACATCCGCGAGGTAGCTCTTTGCAAACTGCTCTTAAGTCAAATTGCATTTTGAGGTGTTAGATTTTGGGAAAGGAGGATATGTGGATCATGGGAGAACGAATATTAACCTTAACTTGACTCAGGAATCGAACACAATAGTGATGCATTGTGCTTTCAGGCTTTCAGAACTAAGTCGTCTCAAAATAATCAAAAAATAGTCAAAGAGTTTAAAAAATAAACGTATTAAAATAACCTTCGAGTTCGAAAACTTGTGAGTTTGCCTTTCCCTTTCTGTGCCTTTTCAACTCTCCAGTAATTTCGCAACGTAAGTTAATTTGGTTCCAAAAAAAGGTGTATATAAAAGTATGTATTAAATATAAAACAACAACCAACTTAAAATTGCAAAATTTTCACCTGGATATGGTGACCTGGACGAGCCTCGTGGGCGTTGATACTCCACTCAGAAAACCTTGGCCCCAGTCTGTCTAGGAAGAAAGGAATGTTGTAATGGGCAGGCTTTGTGCACATTGCATCACTTCCGTCGTAGCTCTGTATACCGCTAGATGGGTTCAGGTCTGGTCTTAGTTCTACAGGACAGTTGGGTGTTGAGTGTTTGTCTCCAGCGAAGTAAAACATGTCGGTAATTTTAGGGTACAGCATACTCATAACCTGAAAAAGTAATTACAAAGACCAATCTAAACAGAGGAAAAAGCTTGTGAGAGTTAAAGGTAAGAGCAAGTAAACTGCCTCAAATGAGAAACTTAACACAAATAAAACCAATGCAGATGGGATCTTAACTCTAAGGCTAAATCCAATGTCAGAAAATTATAATAGATGTGAAGTTATAGGGTTGATGGAATGAAGAATTTAATTACAGTTAATAACAGCTACTGATAGGTTGATACCAGTTTGTAATAATTTTAGACCGATTGCATAACGTTGTCGTTCATCAATTATTGCTACAAACGATTTGAAATAAGTTTAGACCGATTGCATAAAGTTTCCGTTCATCAATTTTTGCTACAAACAAGACAAAAAGTACACATCACTTCATACCGATCTGGCTTCCGTAAACCATTTTTCAAGGGTTTTCCATCTGGTCGGACAATATTTCTTAGCACCTTCGATGTTGCTGCATTTTGCGTGTGCATCCTCGTCAGATTCGTTTTTAGGAAAAGCTTCATCATTGAAGTATTCGTCAGTAGAGTTGAGTTGTTCCTTGAATTTCTTGATAGCTGTAGCTTCGTTTTGTTCTCCAGTAGCACTTTTGGCAGCCTCCTTAGCCTATGTAGAACCAGTGGAAAGTTATTAAAATTTCTCTAAGGATGCTCTATTAGTTCTGAATTCCAAACCCGTACCATTTCATAGATTGCTTACATAAAAAATTTAACCTCTATTCAAACATTGGCTTTAGCATATCTTGTCTCATGTCATAAAAGCGTTCATTATAAGGCAAGGTGGTCGAGCGCTCTAACTGCTGCTTTCTTGGTCGGGATTTTCCCATATCTTATATCGTATTTTGCCATATACATACAAGTATGTACGTATATCGGACCGTTTCCACGGAAACGGTAATACGCCGTGTATTCTTTTGTTTGTCACGAAAGCCGGCAAGTTCAGAATAAACAAGATGTTTCCGAGAGTCATATATAAAGTACTTGCTAACCTCGCTTGCCTGAACTGTTCTAGGAAATATTTTTCCGCGAACGGTCGTTTTTGTTCGTACTTCCACGACCTCGGGCTCATATTCCCCTGTGCGGCCCTAACGCTCGGCTAGTAATTAAGAAACAAGTCACGTCACCCTGTTTTTCTGTCATTTATAATTATTCGAAATGTTTATCGCCCATCGTGAAACTCTTCTCTGTATACAGAGAAGGGAAGGGAAGATTTGCTGAGAACTGTACAGCTTGTCAATTCGATCAGTTAGTTGTATCCAAGAATAATCCTACTGTAATTCTAAATAAAGTAAGAAAAACTCTCAAAGAACCCTCCCAAAGAGTCTTTTTCGTCGATAACTTGACTTCAAGTACATACCAACGGGTAGAGCATTTTTAACTGCTCCCATCCCAGCCTGTGCACATCCATCGGCGTCATATCATTTGTCGTGAAATATGGTAAGATCATAGCGTATGCTTCAGAACCGTTCAATCTGTCACCGTTAGATAGTTCTGGATTTGTTGGCCAAGATGTATTTTCCTTTCCATCGTACCAAACGTGAGCTAAAGGCAGAGAGGCCAATCCACTGGACACGTTACTTGGAACGCAGTAGCGGTAATGTTCGTACTGAAGATACCTATGGGACAGTACTTTGTACTTAGTGGTAAAGCATGCTTCGAAATCATAGTTAAATTGTAGTGGTTTTTATAGATACTTTTCAATGTTTAAGATCAAGCTGTTTGATCTTCAACATTAAAAAGTATCTATAAAAACCACTACAACTCACCTCGTTTAATTGGCCATCATTAAAGAGTTACTTCAGCTGTAAAAAATCATTACGTTAGCCAATTTACATTATCGACTCAGTGGATAAAAATGACCCTTCTTTTAATACCTTTCATGCACGCAGCTCCGCACTCTCTTCAGAAACTTACCCCTTTATTCATACTGTTTGGTTGCTCAGTATAATAATTACAAGCTTACTACTTAGAATGATCAACACATAATGAGAACCACCAAAGCATTTTTAGTGCTAGTTTTACCCAAAAAAAGGTATGGTTGTGTGGAGTCGTCAAAACATAGGTTTGTGTGATCATTCTAAGTTCTTCTGCTTTACCTTAACAGTTCCGTCATTGGCTTTCCCATGTACTCCACAAGGTATTCACTTAAGGACTCATTCACCGTCATTCCATTATGGCTACTCTTCCATTGGCTTTTCATTTCGTCCGTGATTTTACTATAATAATCACTATTAAGAGCTTGGCTGACGTATTTCTCATACAACACACCTGTAAATTTGAGAAAAACAAATTGTTTTAAAATTAACGGTACGAATTTTACCAGTAAAACGTCCGAAATTGGATCTTCTTTGTTGTAATTCGCTCCTTAATTGGTCGACAAAACTCGCGCGTTTCTCTCCACCAATCGGAGAGAAAGCAGGAACCAATCGCTTCTTCATAGTCAGCTCCGTTTTTCGCGCTTCAAGTAGAATGAAAGTTTTTACTTCGAGGTCTTTTTGGATCCTTACGACAATTCCCTCGTTTTAACAAATCATTGGTTCTGGTTTCAGGCCCTCAATGGAATTTCGATTTATATATATATATAGATAGATAGATATATTTATATATATATATATATATATATATATATATATACAGTTATATATAGATATAGATAGATATTGGCCCCCGTATAGCCGCTAACTATGGCTTTAAATGCAGGCGTTTAGTTTTAACTTGTATGACTCCCTCAAGAAGTCTATGACAGTTAGACGAAACGCGTCGGAGAATAGAGAAGTTTTACAACTACTGTTTGCAGAGCGCTACTCGCTAGCTTAGTTTAAGGAGTATTGATTTAAAAAATTATTGAAAAAGTTGTTTGGAAAAATTGTTTATAGAATAATTTAAAAAGTTAAAAAAATTTGTTAACAAAAAATATAATTTAAAAAAATAATGAGAAAATTCGGTAAAAAATAATAAAAATAACACAAATTTTAAAAATTTTAAAAAAAGGAAGAAATTGTTTAAAAATCATTTTAAAATTTATTAAAAATAATTAAAAATAAACAACTGAGTAAAAAATTAGTAAAGAAACAAAAAATTCAGAAAAATTAAAAAAAATTAAGAAGATTAAATACATTTTAAAAAAATAATGAAAAAATTAATGATTAAAAATAATTTAAAAAAATAATTAAAATTAATGGTTAAAAAAATTTAAAAACACTTTAAAAATTTAATTTAAAAAAACTAAAACTAATAATTAAAAAAAGTGATCAAAAATATTTTAAAAAATTAATTAAAAAAGTACGTCATTTTATTGTGGTTACTCTTCCATTTGCTCTTCAATTTGTCCATGATTTTAACATAATAATCATCTTTAAGAGCTTGGCTGATGCATTTCTCATACAACACACCTAGAAATTTGAGAAAAAAAATTGATTTAAAAAGCGGTACAAATTTTAAAACATCCGAAATTGCATCTTTTTTGTTTTAATTCGCACCTTCATTGGTCGACGAAACTCGTGCGTTTCTCTCTACCAATCGGAAAGAAAGATAAGACAAATCGCTTCTTCATGGTCAGCTCCGGTTTTCGTGCTTCAAGTAGGACGACTGTTTTTGCTTCGAGGTCTATTTGGATCCTTACGACAGTCCCCTCGTTCTGACAAATCATTGGTTCTGGTTCCAGACTCTCAATGGAATCTCAATGGATATATATATATATATAATGATCTATTTCACTATTTTAAGAGGTTGCTCAAGAGGAAGATCATGCAATGTTAATTAAATTAAGCTCATGGAGCGATCATTCTTCATCGCCTGGTGGATTTTGGTTGAACAACGCGAAGGACGAATATTTGGTCCGGCTATATCGGTTAACAAAAAAAGCCACCACGTTTTAATAATTTGAAATACAAGCACGTTCTTTAAAACGCATAGAAGAACATAAATAACTTTTTCGGTTTAGATTTTGTCAGTTAGGAAACAAAGAGATAACTACTGCAACCGAGTTATGTTTTACTTTGTTGACTGATTACTTGATTGAAAATTATGCAGCTTGCTATAGTTTCAACTCTGTTGGATGAGGGGAAACTAGAACTCATTCATACATGCGTCTTACAGAATTATGTTCCATTCTGCGTTGGAATGAGGCACGTGTTGTTATTCTGCTTTTGAGGTGGGATTACACTAATATACCCTCTGACTAGTTAGTTAATTGCCTGGCCTTCATGGCCATTTCAGTAAGAAACATCAAGAAACTGCTGCTGTTTTACATAAACAATACTCTTGATCGGCGGAAACAAGTATCAAAATGAATTTCTCCTTGTTAGTGATGTAAACAAATCTAAGTTCAGCTTCACTTGGGTCATTTTGACAGAAGTGTAATCTTTGGCGAAATGAAAAGAAACAGAAAGTGCAAGCAATAAAATCAAGGCGCCTGAAGATATTTTTAGTTTGTAAGAAAGAACATTCCCATACCTCATTATAAATCAAAAAATAAAACAAACCTGTTTCGTTTTTCAAAGCGATCCCCAGGAACCTATTTCTCAGTGCATTCCTTCCCGCTTCACAAGCATCTTGACTGTGAACCATACCGTGCAACTTTCCCATTTTCAGATTTTCTATGTATCTCAAAATTCCTTTCTTGTGAGTTTTCAGCTTCTCTTCTATAAGTTCTATATCCTGCAAGTTTTCTGGTTTTAGACTTCTCAGCAATCCTTGCAAATGCGCACCCAAGTTACAGATGACTTGTTGCCTCGGATGGCAGTAGAATGTTGGACCCATCATCCAATCTCCGGCGTAGAAATTCATGTCAAAAGGCTGACCGAAGACAGTCTTCAAATAATGTTTGAGCTGTGATAGTGCTTTCCTTTCGCGTGGCTTGAGCTTTTTAGAGTCCACTTTTATTTCCTTGACCTCATTGTAGAGACTCCACGCTGCATCAGTAACACTTTTGATGTAATCCGGCGTAGGATTATATGATGTGTACTTCTTCTTGATTTCCTCTCGAGAAGCATCGGGGTCTTCCGGCAGCATGAAAGGATGTTTCTCATAATATGTCTTCTTTGCGCGCATAATGATCTCCTCTAGACGGATCCGTTTGGCTTCTTCAGAGTAGTCACAGAAGGATGATGCTGCGGGCGACGTCGATGTCGATGAAGCCTCATTGTCAGTCTCCCCTTTCTTTTTAATTGCAAGCGCTATTAACACGATTCCTACGATCAATGCGATAGCAGCGATTGCAGTGAATAGGATAAGGAATATTCTACTCTTTGACCTATTCCCTTTCAATGCAGTGTAGTCAGCCATGATTTCTACTAAGAAGCAACCCCAGAATACCTTGCCACTTTGGTCCACCTCATCTACTCGTGTCGGATGGCTCTGAAGATCGAGGCATAGCACAATAAACGTTATTCCTATCTAATGAATCAGCAGAATATAAAGTTGTGGCCAGGGCAGAGCATTGTTTTTACGCCTCTATTGTCTAATGAAAGAATATTTACATAATTTAATTTTTTAAGTGTCAAAACCAGTCAGGTTTTCGTGCTAATCATTCAACTGTAACAGCTTTGTTGGAAGCGACAGATTCTTGGGCATATGATATTGATAACGGGAAAATCAATGGAGTGATTTTTCTGGATTTGAAGAAAGATTTTGACACTGTTGATCATCAGATTCTTCTATCGAAACTAAACTATTATGGTATACATGGCAAATCTTTCAAATGGTTTCAGTCATATCTAGAAAACCGCACACAAAAATGCTCTGTGAACGGGTCGCTTTCCAATAGCTACTCACTGACATGCAGCGTCCCTCAAGGGACCATCCTCGGTCCATTATTGTTCTTATTATATATTAACGATCTTCCAAATTGCTTATCAAATTGTAAACCAAGAATGTACGCTGACGACACGCACCTTACATATGCGGGCAGTAATCTTGAGAATGTTCAGTTTTGTCTAAATGAAGACCTAGCAAACGTTTTCAACTGGCTACAAGCAAACAAACTTACATTGAACATGACCAAAACCGAATTCATGCTAATAGGGTCGAGGCAGAGACTGAATACTCTCACAGCTTCGGGTGACCCTAAAACGAGGGCTTGCTCTCACGCTAGTCTAAGTTTGGGCACGGTGGTGTTTTGGACACCTGGTCGCGAAGAAATTCTTCAAATTCTTCTTGACGGCTTCCTTCTGCTAACTTTCTTTTGTCTTTTCACGCCATGAGAAATTCCCACGCGCGTGACACCCTGCAAACCTCTCTTCAACTAGTGTTACTCAAGTCCCAAAACTTATTCGTGGATGAAAAAACGCTCGTATTGAAGGGCTCGTAACGAGGGCTTGCTCTCACGCTAGTCTAAGTTTGGAGCTGGGGCTGAACGTTGTCATATTTTGAGAAGCCTGAAAACGTTCCTGTGATGTTCTCACATTTACAAGCATATGAGATATTATTGTTTCAATAAATCAATGTGACCAGGAAACGTATCAAAGTTATAATTGTCTATTGTAATGTGGTATGTCGAGTTGGTTTTCACATGCTGTGCGACTTTTTATGCCGCGACAAACTCATGGCAAATTTTGCATAACAAAAGGTAACTAAACAGGTTTACAACGCGAAAACGCAGCTATCTTTCATGCATAATGGTTCATTATTATTTATACCACTCAGTAAAAGAAAAAAAAATTAGTAATGAAACATCTGTTACTCGATTCGGCCTCGCATGAAGACCTTTGGCCCCGAAAAAAATTCGCAGCATGCATTCTACATCAACGTTTGCGGTCGGTAGGTGTCTCTGCGGTTAATTAAACATCAACAGGTTAAAGGTTCTGGAAATTTGGAAATCACAGGTTAAAGGTTCTGGAAATTTGAAATCACTTATCACCGCTCCACCAAGTTTTAATTGTCCTCCGGTTTTATGCCAGTGGAGGTTTCCTTCAAGTTATAGGCGACACCTTCGGTGTGGATAAGTCCACCGTTTCCCGTGCCATTACTGGTGTGTCCCGAGCTCTAGCGGCAAAACAGCCCCGCTTTATCAAGTGGCCTTTGACACATGACGAATGTGCAAAAATTAAAAACGAATTTTATATTCGCGGAGGATTTCCTGGCGTTGTTGGATGTGTGGACGGAACTCACGTGAGATTACAAGCACCTACACAGAATGAAAACAACTATGTCAACAGAAAAGGTTTTCATTCCATCAATGTACAAGCTGTCTGCAACCATGAAGGTGAGTAGACTTTTCGCTATAGCAAAACTTCTCAAAGAAAATAAAAATGTAGACATCTAAGATAAAATTCATACACGAACCAAAACATTTGAGGAGGACCGAGCTTTAACCTCAACAAAAATATTATTTGATTTGAAGGCATGTTTACCAATGTTGTTGCCCGCTGGCCAGGAAGTACTCACGATAGCCACGTCTTTCGGACCAGTAACATTTGCAGTTATTTGCAAAATAACCATCGCTCCCTCGATGATGGCGTTCTTCTCGGGGACAGTGGGTACGCCTGCAGTCCATTCTTAATGACACCGTTTGCAACAACAAGAACTCCATCCCAAGAAGCCTACAATAGTGCGCACACAAAAACGAGAGTGGTGATTGAGCAAACGTTCGGCCGATGGAAAAGGCGATTTCATGTGTTGCATGCAGAAATTAGAATGGCACCTGAAAAGGTTTGCATGATTGTGGGTGCTTGTGCAGTGTTGCACAACATCGCTTTGCTGTTACACGAGCCTATGGAGGATGAAGAGGTAGAAGAGCTGGCAGATGTGGATCCCTACCATGGACCACAACAGGGTCTGTCAATAAGGGACCACATCTGTCAAACATTTTTTGGTTGACATTTTTAACATGTGTGCTGTCTTGACTTTCTGTGATCCTTAGTCATGTAAATTATTAATAGGTGATGAGTTGATTTCAATCGTAATTTGGTGTAAATAGGCACTTGTAAATTTTTGTAAAATATTTTTTTTCAAAGACTCCAAATTGCATTTGCCCATTTTGTTGTCATTAAAAATTTACTCTGTAACATAATTACAAATGCAATTTGGTGTAAGTAAACACTTGTATTTATTTCAAAGACCACAAATTGCACACGCTCTACAGGCATGTGGAATTTTGGTGTCTTTGAAAAATCTACTCATTCTTATTGACACCAAAATGCAATTGCAATCATGTTATTACCCAGCTAAACTAAATATGGAGGTTTTTAAGGGAAATAGTTCAGTTTTGCAAGCAAATGGCTCAGAGTAAAGGTCTACGTTTTAAAGCTTGGTCAATGTGTAGAAAGTCAGGGTGGCTGACAAAAAAATTGGGTGGGGCATTTGAACACAACTTTTTGCAAAACTTCCTCAAATAAATTGTGGGTTCTTTATTTGTATATTAATTGTTACTTCACTGGTATTGTGTATAATTGTACTAATATGCTATTGCAGAATATTGATCAAGGCAATGTACAATAATGTATAATGCACTGCATTTCACCCTCTCCCCCAATGCTGATGGAAATATTTCTAGGATGGTGAAAGATGTTGACACATTTTCACTTTTTCCCCTCCTACCCCCCATCAATTGCACAAGACACTTTTTATGCTGTTAGAACTTTGTATTTTACTACTTTCCAACTTGCATGGGGTGATGGAAACCTGTCTTATCTTATAGAAAAGGAATAATTATATTACACATGGTCTAATGTAAACACCTTATTTGATGGTTTATAATGGTAATTGAACTGAGTGAAATCATTGGAGTATTGTGTATGATTGTGCAAGATGAAAATTGATGGGAGTGTTGAAAAAGAAGCAACCCCTTTCTAGCTTGCTAGTATGTGGGCTGTTAATGTCCTTGGCTGAGAGATTGTCCTTAGAATTTCAAATTTTCTTTGGAAGCTTTACTAATTCTCAGCCAAATATCAATTTTTTTGGACACTCTCAGACGCTGAAGTTATCAGTAGACATACCAGCGAGCCAGAAAGGATTTAATGTACTAAATAACCTGAAATTTATTTCAGTGGCTCCTATATGTTTTTTGCATTCACCTTTCACAAATGATCACTGCTATTGGTACATACTGCAGTAGTGGAAAAAAAAAGGTTGCAGTCTCTTTCATTCAATAAATTTTGCTTACTGCCTGTAAATTTTTATGACACTGATGCCCTAATATTGCCTTAGTGGCAAAAGTTGTAAGGAAGATACATGGGTTGAACTCAAATCAAAGTAAATGATTATTTAAGAAAATTATTTGCACAAGTTGTTGAATAAATATACTTTTATTTTGTATTTCAATCTGGGTGCTTGTCCTGATAAAATGTTACACAATCAGACATATAAATAATAAAAAAGTAAATAAATTTCTTTACTTGCCCATAACACATTATATCTTTGATTATATAAAACATGGGTATTCTCCATTTTATACAAATTTTATGTGATTACAACTTTATTCACATATCCATAACATAACTTACAACTTGAATCATGCTTAAATTCTCCATTTTATACATTCATGGACTTAAATTTATAGACACAGTAGGTATAGAACATGATCTTTGTTCCAAAAGGAACACTTCCAACTCCAATTTCCTCTTTTTTAGCTTAAGATTTTCCTGCTTTAGAATTAATGCTTTGTACTGGGCCTCAAGAACGTCGTCTTGTGTTGTCTTTCTTTTACTCTTTTTTTTATGATGATTTTCTTCTTTCGGTGTATTGACCACTTCATCATCGATTTCGTGGGTGTTGGCTTCATCTTGCTGCACAGCTTCTTGGAGTTCTTTAAACAGGTCTTCATTCACCTCAATTGTTTCCAATTGAGCAGCTACTTCCGTAGGCTGGTTTGCTTCAGGGCCTTAAAAAAACATCCCCACATATAACGGTAAAAAAAAGTGACCTCTTGTTTAAAATTACTTGTCATCAGTTCAAAGGTTCAAAGTAAATCATGACCGAAATGACTGATCTAAATTCACTGAAAGTACTGGCTGTTCAGTTCAAGACAGGTCTCTTTCTAGGAAACTTTGAGGGAGTCTTGAAGAAATGGTAAGTCTAAAAGCTTTTACTCAAAGCTTCTGCAGTTTTAGGAATATTTGTTATTTTTGTGCTCGCCGTGGGTTGCGTGACAAATAGTGTAACAAATATGATAATCAAAGCTAATAAAGAAAGTGACTTCTGAAGCTGTCGTTCATGTAGCGGAAATTATGAACCGAAAATTTGTCTTCTTTCCTATAAATAATGAAATAACATGCATTCTAAAGGTAATAAGAAGTTCAAGTTTTAAACAACAGTGGATGTTAATTCTCACCTTTCGACTCGAAACCCTCGAGGCCGGTGAATGATGGGGTTTCTTTGAAAAGGTCAGTGATTTTAGCAGTTGCCGTCGACGGCATCTTCGGAGCTTCACCTCCTCCAGTTTTTTTCTGCTCTTTGGCCAGTTCTGTGAACTCTTTTTTCGGCCTGTGCGTGTAAATTTTTCCATTTTTCTCTGACCTCGGTAGTCGTCCTCCGAGCAACCCCTACGGCGTTGACAGCATCCGCGATTTTACACCATATTTCATTTTTTTTTTTGGTTTGTGACGCTGTTCGTAAGTTTACTTTGTATAATGAAAAGGTTTTCCTCTTCTTTTTCCGTTAAGATGGCTATTTCGGACGAGCTGAAATTTTGTTTACGGGCTTTGCGTGAGACCGCAGGGGAAGCCATTCCTTAGCTCGCAACTTGCTCACCATAGCAACAATTTACGAAAAGAATATTATGGGTTGCTAACCTCAGGTTAGCCGTGTCTAACACGAGGTTAACTAACCGGCTCTTTAATCGCGCTTTGAGAAACGCTATTTTAACCCTGTGTTAACAAACTTGCGGTTAAGAAATTTAACCCTCGGTTAGCCCTAACCACAGGTTTAGTTTAACCCTCTTTTGGGCCCAGCAGGGTTTCATCTTGGTTCGAGACCCTCAGCAGAGTTTCATGCTATTCAATCGAAGAGCGGAAACATGACGGCCGACCCGATTAGAGCGTTCACGTTTTCGAGGAAGTTAAGATCGATTTCTAGCCTAAATTTTTCAGAGGACGCTGCGTTTTCGCAGATGTCAGATTTACAGTTGAGGTTAGCGTTGTTTTTGTGTTGTTTTCCAGAAATTAGCTCTAATTTGCTGTACCTAAGAATTTACTAACGCTTACACTATTTATTAAGAGCGTTCAAGGAAAATGCATTTTTTTGGTTTACTAAACTAGGAATTAAATTTTTTTTTTAGTATACTTAGGAAAGTTTCATTCTCATCAGTGTGGGATGAGCGAAAAATTTATTAACCTCGATGTGTAACCTTTCCCATAGAGTAGATCACATTTGTTTGTTTATCAATGAAGAAATGTAAAATGGTTTCCGTGTTTACATAGCCTGATGTAAACACGCGGGAGGTTGGGAGAACACGAGATAAGCGTAGGAAACCACGACGCGAAGCGGAGTGGTTTCCAGCTTATCATCAGGCTATGTAAACACGGAAACCATTTTACATTTCTTTTATAAAATAACTAATGAAAGAGGAACGAAAACCGTGTTTACATACGCTCATGTAAAATGGTTTTATGGCCAATCAGAGCGCGCGTTCTATTTGAATTATTTTATAAATCTGAATACGGTGGTACGTTCAATCCCAAGTCAAAAATTTCACAGTGATCTGATTTCACTTTTCTAGGCAACATCAACATGAGACTGCTGTGAGTCCTATGAGCTTCAACAAAGAGAATTTATCAATTAAGCTACAATGCTTGTACTTTTCGAATTAATGAGGAAAATAAAAGCTATACTTACACAGTTGTGTTCTTACAGTCATGTACAGCGAAAAATAGATTTTAGCTGAATCGATCGCGAGAGACTTGTCAAAATGAGTGGTTGGTTTTTAACCTTTGATGACAAAGGCTTGAGTTACATTCCAAAGGCTAGTGTTATGCCCATGACCAAAAAAAAAATTTGTTTTTAATCATACTTAACAATATTGTTCATTATACTTTTTTTTGTGAGTCCTATGAGCTTCAACAAAGAGAATTTATCAATTAAGCTACAATGCTTGTACATTTTGAATTTATGAGGTAAATAAAAGCTATACTTACTCAGTTGTGTTCTTACATGTACAGTGAAAAATAGACTTTGGCTGAATCGATCATGAGAGACTTGTCAAAATGAGTGGTCGGTTTTTAACCTTTGATGACAAAGGCTTGAGTTACATTCCAAAGGCTAGTGTTATGCCCATGACCAAAAAAAAAATTTGTTTTTAATCATACTTAACAATATTGTTTATTATACTTTTTTTTGTGAGTCCTATGAGCTTCAACAAAGAGAATTTATCAATTAAGCTACAATGCTTGTACATTTTGAATTAATGAGGTAAATAAAAGCTATACTTACTCAGTTGTGTTCTTACATGTACAGTGAAAAATAGACTTTGGCTGAATCGATCTTGAGAGACTTGTCAAAATGAGTGGTCGGTTTTTAACCTTTAATGACAAAGGCTTGAGTTACATTCCAAAGGCTAGTGATATGCCCATGACCAAAAAAAAATTTGTTTTTAATCATACTTAACAATATTGTTTATTATACTTTTTTGTTTACAGCAAATTCTTTTGACATCCAACAACACTGGAATCTGGTGAAGTGTTGTGGGGTCTTATGAAGAATCAGAATAAGCTGGAAGGTATAAATCCTGTGGTAAATATTATTGAACATAACTGACTGAATGACCATCAAAGAAATGCTTACATGTGACTGGATTGGCTATGTACGTGTCATCTAATTATCAAGAGATGGCACCTGGAGCTGGTCAATGTTTTGAGGTGGTTTAACTTTGACCTTTCTGAATT